AGTATTTTATTGAGGATTTTTGCATGAATATTCATCAGAGATATTGGTCTATAGTTTTCTTAATGTATCTTTGTCTGGTTTTGGTATCAGGTTAATAACCCAGGGATTAGAATAAAAAATCTTAGAAATTTACCTGATGCTCTGTTCTACTGTGGTTCAGCTGGCACTCAAACCACAAGATGAAACACTTCCCATTCTTCCCTCCCCCTTCCACAGGCAGAGGTGCCTCTCCCTGTGGCCACAATTAACACTGTCCCTTGGGGGGGCTCTTCCAGGCCACTTCTGACATTCACTTAAAGCCCCAGGGCTCTTCATTCAGCTTGTGGTGAATGCTGCCAGGTCTGGGACTCACCCTTCAGGGCAGTGGGCTCCCCTCTGGCCCAGAGCAGGTCCAGAAATGCTGTCCAAGAGCCTCCTCATTGTTCTACCACATTGTAGCTGAGCTGGTACCTAAAGAGCAAGACAAAGTTCCCTTTACTTTTTCCTCTGCTTTTCTCAAACAGGAGTCTCTCATTGTAGCCACCACAGCTGGGAATGTGCTGAGTCTTACTTGAAGACAGCGCATCTCAGAGCCCAAGGCCCACAGTATATTCCCTAGGTATTGCTGCTGGTTATTCAAGGCCCAAGGGCTCTTTAGTCAGCAGGTGATGAATCCTGCCAAAACTGGATTCTTCCCTTCAAGGCAGTGGGTTCCTGCTTGGCCCAGGGTGTGTCTAGAAATGTTGTCCATGAGCTAGGGCCTGGAATGGGAGCCTCATGACTGCCCAGTGCTCTATCCTACTGTGGCTGAGCTGGTATGCAAGATGCAAGACAAAGTCCTCTTTACTCTTCTCTCTTTAAACATTTCCTTGATGCTAGCTGCACTGCTTGGTATTGAGGGAAGGGTACCGCAAGCACTCCCTTAGGTATGTGTCTCACTAGGTCATGTGCCACCCTAGTCCATAGCTCAGCACTAGGACTCACCTAGGAATTGCAGTCTTTGTATCCTAGACTGCCTTCCAAATTTACCTGGAACCCCAGAGCACTTTGGCCCATGGTGGCGAGGCCTGCAAAAACTTAAGGTATGACCACTGGGAAGGGGAATTCCCCTCTGGTTAGGTCTGGTCCAAATGCTCCCTACCTGCAAAGGCAGGTCGCTACCAGAGGATGGAGGAGGGGTGGTGTCTGGGAGTCAAGACTGTCTCTTCTATCGTCTTCAATGACTCTCAGAAATACTAAGTTAAAACCAGGTACTATGATTGCTAACCTGATTTCTGGTTCTTGTGACGGTGCTTTTCAGTGTGCAGATAATTGTTAAAATTTCATTTCTGTGGGGGGAGGGAGGATGAACGGCATTGGCTTCTATTCTGCCATCTTGCTTTGCCCCTTTGGATATAATTCCCGTTTTCTTTTTGTATGGCTTGTACTGTTGTCTCCTATTTCATTCCCAATTTTAGAAATTTGAATCTTTTTTTCATAGTCTAGCTATAGGATTGCCAGTTTTGTTCATCTTTTCAGCAAACCAACTTTTGGTTTTATTGATTTTTCTCTATTGTTTTCCTGTTCCCTCCCATTTGTCACCACCCTAACCTTTATTATATCCTTCCCTCTGCTAGCTTTGGGTTTAATTTGCTTTTTTTCAGTTCCTTAAGCTGAGAAGTTGGGTTATTAATTTGAAATCCTTTCTCTTTTTTACCGTAGGCATTTATAGATATAAATTTCCCCCTAAGCACTGCTTTCATTGCATCTCATAAGTTTTGGTTATGTTTTTATTTTCATTCATCTCAAAGTATTTTCTATTTTCCCTTATGATTTCTTCTTTGACCCAATGGGTACTTAGGAATTTATTGTTTAATTTCTGCAACTTGGTGAATTTCCCAAATTTCCTTCTGTTATCGATTTCTAATTTTATTGCATTGTGGAGAGAGAACATATGTTGTATAATTTCAGTCCTTTAAATTTATTGAAACTTGTTTTATGGCCTAACATATGATCTAACTTAGATAATTCTTCATGTGTAGTTGAGCAGTATGTATATTCTGCTGCTCTTTTTGGATTGTCTTATAAGTTGTCTGTTAGGTCTTCTTGGTTGATAACATTATTCAGTTCTTCTATTTCCTTGTTTATCATCTACTTAGTTGTTCTATCCACTATTGAAAGTGGTGTATTGAAGTCTCCAACAGCTATTGTTGAATTTTCTATTTCTGCTTTGATGCTGTCAGGTTTTGCTTCATGTATCTTGGGATCTGTTGTTATATGCCTATATGCTTATAATATCATCTTCCTGGTGGATTGATCATTGTAACTTTATAAAATGCCCCTACTTATCTCTAACATTTTAAAAAATCTATTTTGTCTGATATCAGTTTAGCTGTTTCAGCTGTTATGATTGCTGTTTGCATGATATATCTTTTCCCATCATTTTAACTTTATTTGTATCTTTGAATTTAAAGTTTGTATCCTGTGAACAGCATATAATAGGATTTTGTTTTTTATGTATTCTAATAATCTCATTCATTCATTCATTTATATCTAATTACTGATACGTGATGATTTATGCCTGACATTTTGCTCTTTGTTTTCTATATGCCTGTGTTTTTTGATCTTCTATTTCTCCATTACTGCCTTCTTTTGTGTTACGTGTTTTTTAGTATACCATCTTAATTCTCTTGTTTCTTTACTATATTTTTGAATTATTTCCTTAGTGGTTGCCCTGGTGATTACAATGAACATCTTAACTTAAACTCATCTGGTTTTAATACCAATTTAATTTCAACCATATTAAAAAAATTTGCTCCAACATGGCTCTATTCTCTTCTCCCCTCTTTTGGGCTATTATTGTCATACATATTATATATTTTTTACATTATATGCCCATCAACACATCCTAGAACTATTGCTTTATGCAGCTGTCTTCTAAATTAAGTGGAAGAAAAAAGAGTCACAAAAATACAACATACCATCTTTTATATTTACCTACGTAGTTACCTTTACCAATGATATTTATTTCTTTATGTGAATCTGAGTTACAGTCTACTGTCCTTTCATTTCAGCCTGAATAACACTCTTTAGTATTTCTTCTAAGATAGGTCTGCAATGCCAAAGTCTCTTCTTTTTCTTTCTGGGAATGTCATTACTTTTTCTTTTCTTTTCTTTTTTCTTTTTTTATTCGATCCAACAGATCCACTGGTAAGGGGATGTCATTATTTTACTTCATTTTTGTAGGATAATTTTGCTAGACATATAATTCTTCATTGACACTTTTTCTTTCAGCACAGCACTTCGAATATGTCATCCCACTGCCCTCTGGCCTCTACGATTTCTGACAACAATGTGGCTGTCAATATTATTGACATTCATTTGTATGTGATAAGTCGTTTCTCTTGCTGCTTCCAAGATTCTGTCATTGGCTTTAGACATTTTGTTTTTTTTTTTATTATTATTATTATACTTTAAGTTCTAGGGTACATGTGCATAACGTGTAGGTTTGTTACATATGTATACTAGTGCCATGTTGCTGTGCTGCACCCATCAACTCGTCAGCACCCATCAACTCGTCATTTACATCAGGTAT